GGTCCTTGATGTCCTGGCCAGATGGCTATTCAGAGTTTGAAGGGTTTAAGGGTCTAGGCAGATAAAGTTTGGAGGGCTTAGGGTTGAGGGCTTTAGATAGAATGTAGGGTTCGGGGGCTCTACAGGAGGGCTTAAGCAATCACCAATATCCCTGGAAGTCATGTGAGGACCCCTATACTCAGCTATGCAAGGAATCTAGGACAATGATGAATAACATCGGTAATTGTCACTATAAGCCCTCTATACAATCTCATTTCCATTTCATGTTCCATTTTCCCATTTCACTCAGAATTCTTCACCCTAAGCACTATATGCCCCCCTATACCCCTTGCAAATCCCTTTGTAAATGGACCATAATACTGATAGTTTTTCAAGCCTTCAAAGTGCTCCAGTAGGCTGGGCCCTTAGGGCTTTCTGGAACCGAAGGCTCCTTATGTGCCACGGGCAGGGCAGGCTGATCCCCGCTGGCCGGCACTGTGGGGTCTAGGATTTAGGATTTGGGGGTTTCCCAATATTATTTTAGTGGTCCCCATAATACGGATAATAATATATTGGGGTCCCCTTGTTTAGGATTTAGATGGATTTGAGTGGTTGTCAAAATTATGGTCCCTTTTTTGGATCCCTATTACCTAATATATTTAGGGTCCCCAAAAAGGGACCATAATTTTGACAACCACCCATTTAGAGTTGCAGGCTCAGAGGGATTTTCTGCTTCCCTGTATAACCTGAAGCCAGAACCCCTGTACCTGGAACCCGCTATCCACCTTTTCTGCATCTGGACTACCATCACGAAGTTCCAAGCTAAACCCGAAACCTTCACTCACACCCCTAAGCCGACAACCCGAAATCTCAAAACCTTCAGCTGGAAGCCATACGATCATCTCTCTATCCCATTCTTGCCTTTGTTGCATACCTAGCCCAAATTCCCTAGACCCCAAACTCTAAACCCTATAGATCATAGTGGTGTCCATCGTCTTCTCCATTCCCTACGAAGCCACCTGTCAGGTACGGTTGCTCAGGGGGAGTGGGGAAGGATGTAAAGGTACCAGTATAAAGGATTTGTTATAACAGGAGTCCACGCCCCCGCTCCCCCCTCAATTCCTAACCTGTTTATCCCCAGCTTCCGTTTCATGTTCCATTTTTCCATGTGACTGTTCATTTTAGGAAGCAACCCCCCCCCCCCCTCTCCCTTAAGCATCAGTAAGGTAGAAACCCTCAAACCAAAACCCTGAACCCGACACCCTAAGAGCAAGGTCAGTTGCACCCCAAGAAGTGTCCCGAGAGTCAAGGCCAGCCGGGATGTTCTTGACCATAATCACATTTCCCCTGGGGCTGAGAGCTTAGGGGGAGGAGTTAGGAGTTAGGGTTTAAGGCTTAAGATTCAGGCTTTAGGGCCTGAGGCTTTAGGGCATAGGGTTTGGTGTTTGAAGGCTTGGGATTTGAGGATTCCGGGTCTTGGGCTTGATAAACGGTTTCTGGCTTTTGGCGTCAGGGTACAATGCTCCAAAACAAGGAGGGAAGAGTTAAAGGGTTTCATCAATTAAGGGTTCAGGGCTTCAGGGTGTTAAGTTCAATGGTTCTGTGGTTTAGGGCTTACTGCATGCTGTTTAGCACTTGAAGCACCCCATCGGATGTAAAAGAACTCTGGGCCATCGTTGGGCCCCGCCAAGCAAATATTTTCCGGCGAATACTTCACGAATCCCTCTTGAGGTTCATGGCAAAAAGAAAATAGAAATAGGGACATATAGCAGAAGACATGTGTAAACCCATCTTCAACGGCTAAGCCTTCTCAGCGTTTCTTAGGTAGTCAGGTGTGGTTCTAAGAACAACAAAAAAAGCTTGAGCAACTACCGCTGCTCTACTTATAATATTGCTGAAACCTTCAAAGTGCAGCCGTTGCTTCCCTAAAGCCCTTCCCAGGGCCCTACTGTGCGCGGGAAAAAGAGAAGCTATGCGGACCTTTAGATTCTAAACATTGAACTTGATGACTACTCTCACTATTACTACTATCATCCCTACCATAACTATGCCTATTAATCTTGCTAGGAAAAGGTTGGATTTTAGATGCCCAAAGCTTGGGCTTTTCAAGGTCTACGGCAAGGCCTCCCTGAGCCCCTAGCAATACACCTCCTACCCTAAACCCTAAACTGGGCTGCTGTTGAGGAACTTGATTCAAGCTACCGTTTTGGGTTTCCCCATATTGTAACTTAAATTAAGTTCCTTAACAGCCACCCAGTAAACCCCCCGAAGAATCGGTAGTAACTTCTTGTAAAGGGACCCAGACGCGGTATCATCTTTGGGGTTTGGGGCGGTTGGATTTCTAGGCTGAGGACGTGGACTCGAGATGCAGTTTGTGACTCTGCCATTGAAGCCATATTTCAACACTTCACTGCTGATATGGTCTAGGGTTTGAGTTTAAAGGTGTGGGGCTCAGGGCTTGGAGGTTCACGGGCTAGTGTGGTTTACGGTGCAAGGTGTAGGGTGTCGGGCTTGGGATTTGGGGAACATTTGCAGCCGCTTGCTGGCATTTAGCAAATCGTTTCAGCCAAGGAAGTAAAAACGAACAGACCCGCACAATTGGCAAGGTTCCTGCTGTATAGCAGCACCCTCAATGACTCCCCCTAGCCTAGCATAGCGCTCCAGTGATTGTATCAAGCTATTTGTGTCTTCCCTCTTCCAACGAACGTTTTATCATGAACAGAATGGTGTTCATGATGATGGCCGCATTGAAACTCATGCCAGCGAATCCTCTTGTTCTCCATCCAATCTTCAAGAACGGAGCCTGCAATCTTCATGATAAACCTCTCCATGAACCCTCTTAACAGGAAGCATCCCTGCATCCTACACTCAACCCTACCACCTAACCCTCAGTCTCAAAACTATACTTCCATTGGCCTGGGAAGGTCTTCGTAGTACCGACGTGGAGGAGGAGATCGCGAGCGGCCCCTCGCCCATTGCCTCTCTGGCTCACCTGGGATTTGGGATTTGGGCTTCGAAGTCCAAGCCGGCTCTCAAGGAGAGGCGAAGGCTAGGACGTCAAGAACTTAGGGTTTAGAATAGCTTGGAAGGTTTAGGATTAAAGGTTTTCTGTGCAGCGTTTGGTGCTCCAAGAGTTTAAGGTTCAGAGCGTACACGCTGAGGGTCAGTTGCACAATTGAGCGGTCCTTTTATCCATAGGGTAAGTGGAGGGATTGTCAGAGGTTGAGGAATCACGGGCCATGTTAAACTCATTCTGAGGTGAGATACGTGATATATTGTGATATAGCATACAAGGATGATTTAGTATGGGGCCCCTCAAGCGCATGCCGAGATCTTCAAAATCTGAGTCTAGGGTCTAGGGTTCAGGATTTAGGGCTTTAGGGCTTTAGGGCTTTAGGGCTTAGGGTAACTCTGGTGGAGCTGTAATAAACGTCAGAAAGTAAGATGTTGAAAAACAAACGAAACTACCCTGGATAATCATGACCCACGACAGACCCCAACCTCCCCAAAGCCGCCCCAAAACCTTGAAGTTCATCCCCCACCCAGAAACCTCCAAAAGAAACAAAGACCCTAATCCCTGAAACCTAAACCCCGAAACCCCTAAAAACCAACTCCCCGCATGCTCCATGTGTGCTCTCTGGGTCGACTGCGGCGATCTCGGGTATCCCGTGCCTGACATTGAACAAGCTGTTGATAGGGTTCAGGGTGTAGGGTTTAAGGCAGGGGTGTTGGGCTGTAGGGTACACGGGTTTAGGGTCGGGATTGTGGATTGGGGGTTTTAGGTTTCAGGGCGAAGGCCTGAGGTGTAAAGCTTTCGGTGTTTAAGGTTCCGGCTTCAGGGTTTATCGGGTTTCGGCACGCGTGTCACACTGCGAGGACGGGAACCGTTCCGGGGCTCAATGGTCTTGGAGCATGAAGTTCAGGGTTTAGGATTCCAGTTTTAAGGTCTACGCAGGGTGTAAAGTTAAGACCCTAAACCCTGAACGTTAAACCCGGGTTTTGAGGCTTAGTGTCTCGAAGCCTGGGGTTGCGGGTTGCAGGTTTAGGGATTTAGGTGCGGGGCTTAGGGCCCAAGCTCTTGGGTGAAGAGCCTAGGGTACAAGGTTCCGAACTTAGCCATTGAGAGTGTGAGATGCCTAGTCTACAGTTTCTGGTTTTGTGTCCACAGTTCCGCGTTCCGGGTCAAGTGGCTGGGGCCTAAAGTGAAGATTCAAGGCTTGGGGTTTAAGGTTTAGGGTCTAGGTTCCGGGTATAGTGTGTTGGTGTGTATAACAAGGCTTACAGTGTGAGGTTGTTGGGTCAAGGTGGAGATCAAGAGTTTGGCAGCTCAAGGTCTAGAGTTGGCACATAGGATTTAAGCCAAGGTGTATGCAGTCATCTTGAAATGGAGGATGAAGGGTTGGAGCAGGATTCTTGCAGGCACAAGGGACGCACCACTCCTGATGCAGGTGCAAATCTGGGCTTGCAAGCTGTAAGCGGAGTATGCGTCGTTCAGCCTTGTTTCAGGATCTGACACTGAGCATCTAATCTTAGTCGATGGACTACGACACGAGCACCCCAGCAAGGTTCATTTTGTCAGGCAGCCCCCCTTGCGTCTCAAATTTCATGGGAACACCTCTGATGACCTTCAGTCCAGTATCAGCTTCTCTCCTGCCTACAAGACATTAATTACATGGCGCCAGGGAGGCTCCGGCATGCTAAGCCGTCTTTACAGTCACCACTCGAGGAACATGACTTTGAAATTACCATGATCAAGACTTCCAAGGATTTTGGAATGAACGTGATCGCTCCACATTCAACTTCCACATCTGCAGTTCACTTCAAGCAGGAAATTCTATGACTGAACAGCAACTTGCTAAGTGGAACATATGGCGGTTCTGCATCTCCAAACGCCGAACACGGTCTCAAAGTTTCTTGAGCTGAAGGTTACTGTCAGGGACCCTAGGCATACATTGTGGGGACCCCTCTGAGGATTACAATCATTATTGCCAGAAATGTCCGTTTTCGACTGAGGGCCGCACATCGTAGCCATCGTCCCCTCAGCAGAAGCTGTCACTTCTGCAGGGCAAAATTTAAACCCTTGCAAGTTGTTTGGGAACGCTGTTGCGCACTGCCCCAATTGCAGCACCCTATCTGCAGGCGGCCCTCGAGAAGGACTGAAGAAACTTTGCAGCTGCCCACATGACCGCATGGTGGCACAAGCGGGCAGCCCTCATTCGATTCCGAAGCGGAGAAGGGATATAAACGGGAACAGCATAGGGATAGCTACACGCATCTCCCCTAGCTAAGCATCAGTAACACAAAGGTGCCACCGGGCAGCTGTAGTCGTGCTCCCGGCGGTCGTATGTGAACCGTCTGTCTCGCACATCACCGCCGTAGCTGCGAGGACCCGCGTTCCATCGCTCCTCGCACTGGCAGCACCACTTCCATCCCACTTTCAATCAACATTATGCTCGGCATTCTTTTTGCATGAGGAGAATCGAAGTTGATGTCAGGGGTGGGGCAGGTGCCTTGCAGTAGAGGGATGGGGTTTCAAGCAATTCCGAGTTGCCCTATCAGTCTTATGCACATTTCAAGGGAATTGCGCCGGTTTTGCTGCATCAGGCTTGATCTTGCGCTCTTTGTTGTTCTTGCATGACATCTAGCACAAGCAGATCACGTGATAGTTGCTTGTTCTTAGGCTGCTAAAGCAGTCGGCCTGACGATCAGCACGCGCACACACACACACACACACAAGACAAAACAACAGGGCTGCGAGTTACACGCTCTGCTGATCACATTTGGTATTCTGGAATTTGTGTGCCTTTACTAAAGCAGGCATCACACCCTGCTCTCGGCAGCTGCACCTACAAACGCCCAAGGTTTAAGGCTTGATTAAGCCTTGTGATAACTTGTACACATCTGGGGCACCAAGAACATACGTACACTCCTATAACTCCTGTCGGAGAGGGCAAGAGCCGCAAACCAATGCACCCTATGAGAACCACATGATCCTCATAGCGTCCTCATTTCGAAGGCTTGGAGAAAAAAAACTTCTCACTCAACATGAAGTCCCTGCAACATGCAAGGTACTCAGATGCTCTTTGAACAGTCCTGCCGCCAAAGGGGAATTTCTAGCAAAATAATGAGAAGCCAATCTGCACAAGGCTGGGGGGCTCTCCCCACCCACCGACAGTCAACAAAAGCTGTAGTTGTCGTTGCAATGTAGCCCTGATAGATTCCCCATCTATGAGGGCAAAGCCTGACCCAGACATATGAGGGTCATCCATTTCGGATCTTGCTGGAAGAAACCACGGCCTTGCAACTCCCTATTCCCTACAAAATCTTATCCCCACCCTAAACCACCTGAACCCTTTTTCCTCTCTCTGCCTCTAGGATGCGCCCTGGCCCAGCACTGGCTGTTACAGGATCCTGAACCTTAAACCCCCTAAATCCGAACGCCAAAACCTCAACCCAAAACCCCGAAAGTACCCCATGAGACCGTCCTCCCTCTCAACCTCCGTCTTCGCAGGACGGGTCCACACAGGCTCAGCCTGAGGGAACCGACTGTTTTGGGGGAGGTTGTGGTCAAGGTTGAGGGTCAGGATTCAGGCTTGGGGTGTGTATGCATGCAAATACATGAAAGGGATACATATGGAAAACAACCATATGTACATACACAAATTTGTACATATATACATATGTACGTGTGTAAGGTTCAATGCTCCGGCACAAACTGGCTTGCAAACATGAGATGGAATCTACAGACATTTTGCAAGGCAAACTCCAGAGTTCAGTACAGGGACCCTTGCTTGCCGACTATGCTGTACTAGGTGTTCTGACTCGCTATGATCTATTTACTGAACTTGCCAAAGAAAGACTGCATTGGGTGCTTGGGAGTTGTAATCGAACCCACGAAGTAAGTTGTCACAATCAGGCCAGACCTAAGCCTGAAACCCGAAGTCTTCCACAAAGGTTCAAGGCTTGGGATTTAGGGCTCAGGGTCCAGGGATAGATAGGGTATCCAGGGACTAAATATACGGTGTACAAGGGCTTACCCTCCCCCAAAACTAACATGGAACCTCGGACAGGATCACTTGTACACATCGGTCCTAACAAAGGGATTACAGGGGCTTCCATGCTAGCTTGGGGAGGTACAATCACTCCTTTTTTTGCAGTAAGTGCACTCACGATCATGGCTTGTCTCACCCATGAGTCACTCCGATGATGGGATTGGATCTAACTCTCTGGTCTGTCCAGCTAAAAACATGGTGAGGCGTGTGCTCGCTCTACCCCAGCCCCATACGCCCTGCTACGCGCGACAGCGCTCAGCCCAGCTGGATCAGGTGGCAGGGGTCCCGCCGCCCCCCAGCAAGCGCGAGCAGACTCATACAGGGACCACTGGAGCGAGCAGCTCAGCTGCGAGAGCCACTTCTGCATTGCTGGGCCGCCCGCCCAGGTCCTGTAAGGGCGCGACTGCTCTGCCGCGCTTTGCCGGGCCTGCCGGAGCAAGCGGAGCCCCGCCGGGCCGAGGCGCCCAAACGTTTCCAGGGCAACGGGATCGCTGCGAGTCCTGCCGCGGCAAGGACTGGGTAGCGGTCCCGCTTGGCCGCCTCGGCGGCACGCGCTGCCGCCCCGTCGCCCAGCGCCGCTGGAGCGAGGTATTTGATCGCGCACGGGTGCCTCAAAGTGACGTCGTCACCTGGAAACCTTGTCTGAAACTCCTCGCGCAAGCACGTTCGCACAAATCTTCCAAGATACGTGCCACACATGCCTGACTATTGGAAAGCTCTACACTCCACGCCCCTGCAGCAGTAATTACTCCTCATATATGTCATCATCATTGGCGGGCACGGACTTTAGCTGAAGATTGTGTGACGAATCGAAATCGGCGACTACAGGAGACCCATATCCACCCCCAGCTAGGACTGTATGCCATTAAATAGCTTGTGAATAGCCAAGACTTTACACTATGAGGAATACGCGCCCATAGAAACCCACACCTACATTTGGAGACCCGAGACACCTTCACCCGAGCCATCAAGACCTGAAGTCCCAGGTCAAGAAAGACAGATCAAAGAAGAGGGTTTGCGTGCCCAGTTGCTGCACGGTCTGACCAGCTGCCACGTCCTTCAGCCACATTCACATGGCCATGTTTGAAGCCATGGTTCCTTTTGAGGCCTCAAGGTCTGAAGGAGGCCTGGGCTTCGGGACTTCGGGGCCCCTACCTTGAAAGGGATGTATTCATCCAAGGACATGCATGACCCTCTACCCTCAGGAAAACTCTCAAGCCAGAAGTTTGAGCTATCCTAAACTTGCAGAAAGCCTGGTTGCCATGGTGTCTTGCAGCGACCTTAGGCCTGAAAGCATCTTTTGTCTGAAGCCCATAACCCTGCTTTTGAAGCCCTTTGACCTAATCAACAAGGGCCTCAAACAAACGCGGCACAATCTCTACATAATAGCAGGAACAAGCTTCTTAGCTGCAGACGGCATACTGGTTTGAGATAATCACATCCCTACACCCAAAGCCCCTCAACCCTAATCCACATATTCTATAGTAATCCCGTAATCCCCCTAGCCTTTGTCTTTTCCCCACACCCTCACACCCCCCTCACAGACACAAACGCCCAAATCCTGAACTTCCTGAATGCTGACACCTTCCCCAACCCTAAACCCTAAACCCTAAACCCCAATTCTGCCAACACCGCGCGGAAAGTTCCAGACTTTGGTCCTTCGAAGCGGCCGCCCTGCGACTGCCAACTCTGACTTTGACCACCTCAGCACAAGACAGTTGCTAGGGCTTAGGGTTTAGGGCTTAGGATTTAGGGTTTGGGGGATTGGGGTTTAAGGTTTAATGGTTCGGGGGGTCTCAAGGAACCCCAGGAAACCACAGCAAAAGCGTGCAAGAAGCGCTCAGCCAGCCGTCTTGTTTTGCACTGCGACCGTCAAGGTCTCCGTGATCCTGGGATCCGCAGGCTCACCTATGGTGATCTAAGACCCCTAAGGGATCAGCTGACTCGTAGCTAAAAGCTTGGGCAAAAGGCCAGCCTGCGGACGCCAGCATGGTGCACAATGCAGATAGCAAACTTGGGAATGCAATCCACAGCAGGACATGGTATGTTCCTTGACACACCCCAAAGAGGGATGGATGGAGTTCCCAAAGTTTGTTGAACTCCGAAAAAGGTCCGACAACAGCTTTTCAGCTTGTTGGCATCTCACAGGCAGACTCTCCTACTCGGTCCATAGACTTCCTCTTCTTGGCGGAGATGAACGCTCCATCCATTCGAAGCTTCCAGACGCCGGTCACGAGGAAGTTCTTGATGGCATCCTGCTTAGCACTCTTGGTGAGGCCATCTGCCAGCTGGCGATCCGAATCACACCACAGGATCAGGGTCCCTTGTTCGGCGATGTGTTGTTGCAGCGCCGCCAGCTCCAAAGCCGAGTACTTATCCTTGATCCCCACAGAGGCCGACAACACCGCGTCCCGGTCCAAGACATCGTACACGGCCTTCGCGTCGATGATCATGGCAGCCGGGATCGTCCTCACCGCAGCAGCTGGGTTCTTGAGATCAATCTCCCGGCCCAGCAGCTCGCACCAGGTCAACCTGGCCAACATCATCTCCTGCTCGAGGTCGGCCAAGCTCTGGACCTCTGCTGACAAACTTGATCGGGCCACACGACTTAACTTGGATGATTTCCATCCCAGTGGGTTGAGTTTGCCGCTTCCTCGGGCAAAGTCATCCGGATGCATGAAGCCGAAGAGGTGGCCACCAGTGGACGTGCCATCGGGCCTGTTCGCCAGGGAAGCATCACTGTAGCCAACCATCACCATGCGCTCAGGGTGCTCGCAATCAAGCTGCTGCACACGGACACTGACATGCCGAGAGGAATAAATCTCTCGCACCAACTTGTTCACCTGGTCAATGGCGGAATGGTGCCTGGTTGCCACAAAGCTCTGCAAGTAGCTCAGCTTTGCCGCGTGATGGGGCCCAGACTGGGTTACACGCCATTGTGCCGACCCGAGGATCGCCCTGGCCTGGCTCATCTCTTTCTCGGTCAGGGGCGCTTCATCACCCTTGGCACGCGAGGGCATTTGGCTCAAGTTGCCGCAAAACTCAGAGTGGTCCAACATTACGGCATCGTCTGCAAACTGCTGGAGCCTCAACCCACAATGAAGAAAATTTTCCGCCTCCCACAATGCCCATTTGTAGGAGGAGTGGAGATCATGCAGGAAGGTAGTCCAGGTAGCCGATGACTCATCTCCGGAGAAGAGCACATCATCAACATGAACTCCTAGGAGTCCAACGACAGTGCCACTCTCATCCGCCACTGTCCATAAGCAAGGGTCCGTCTTACTCTGCTGTGCATTCAACTTGCGCAGCGTGGTGGCGAAGTCATCAAACCATTCCCTTGGGGCAGACGTCAATCCGTAGGCGGATCCAAGAAGTTCGATCATCTGGCCCTCATCCAGCTTCATGGCCTCTGCAAGCTCCGGCAGCGGCTTCGCATACAGAGGATGGAGTCGATCAGGTGGTTTTGCCTGAAGGAAAGCCGTCTTCACATCCCCAGCGAGGATCTTCCACCTCCTGGCCGTTGCCATATTCAACAGCAGCATCTTGCTCAATCTGGACATCGCTGGGCTTGCGGTGGTCCTCTCCAACAATGAGGGGTCTGAAAACCCCAAGACCACTATTCTGGCTTTTGCTTTGACCTTCCCTTTTTCGGAAGGCCCATCACCAGCAGCCTTGAACGTGTACAGCCACCTCATTCTCATGCACTGCTTTTCAGTGATGGAAGGGCACGCAGCTCGAGCCACCTTATGACCCAACCAAGATTCAATCTCAGCGGACTTCGCAGCATTCATAGCGGTCTTCTGCTGGTCGCTGAGCTTATGATATGAGACTTCAACCCCCTTCTGAACGTTCTTGACCATGAACTTCGAGGGGTCCTTGAGGATCTTCTTCCAAGCCTTTGGGTCGTCCGGGATCTCCAGCGTAACGGAGAACAAGGTGTTGGAGAGGTCCTCTTCAAGAAACATGGCCGCTGACCCATGCTGCACATGCCAAGGCCGATCACTCTGTTCACGCGATGCTCGCTGTTCTCGAAAGGAAACAGGTCCTGGCTGACCGGGAGGCATGTACGTCACATCGTCCAGCAGGCGGTCAATGTCCAGCTCGTCCTCGTCCTCTGGAGGCAGTGGTCGCTTGGGCCGTTCCTCCATGTCGGGGACCATCTCCTCATCAGATGGAGCATCTCGAACATGCGAGGGAACCGCAGACTGCGCAACCTTCCGGTGGGCTTGACCCGTGGCCTCTTTCGCCTCTCTGGCCTTGGCCTTCACTCGAGACGACCGACCCCAGGTTCTCCTTTTTGGTCGGGACTCATCATCATAACTCCCTTTTGTCAGAAGCGAAGTCAAGGATGAAAAAGTCCAAGGGAAAGTTGGAGCTGTCGCAGCATTACTCACCAACCTTTCCGACTCGGATGCGTGTCGGATCTGGCTTGCATGAAACTTCTTCAAGCGACCAGCGGCAATCGCCCACAACATAGCCGATGGTCTTCGCGACGTCCCATCCACCTTCGTCTCGCGGGCCAAAATTCGAGCTGGGCCATACCACCTTGCCGTTCTAAGCCGTGGGTAGTCCAGCATGTTGTTTGCTGGGAGATCTGCAGGATGTTGGAGTCGACGATAGAAGACCAAATCTCCTGGCAAGTACTTGGTGTACTCCCGAGTTCTGGTGTTCTTTGCTCGAGTCGCCTGCTCGCGTGCACGATGCTCGAGGAAGGCCTTCTCGGCATCCTTCCGGATTTGCCATGCCGACGAGGAGGAGTTGCTGAGGATGACCTCGTCGTGGTTGGAGTCCAGCAAGCGCCCTCCAGGAGACCAATCCCTCCCCATTGCCCATTGTAATGGGGAAAAGCCGTGCACCCTCGCCAAAGAGTTGTGGCCGCTATCATCGCGATGGCAGCTTGCTTTGCATCCCCCGGAGACCCTCTCAGGAACGCCTCCGTTTTGAGCCGGATGCTTCCGATTGCCCTTTCGGCTTGGGCAATAGATTCGTGCTCAGCTGGCGCTGGCACAAAGTCAATCCCGTGCTCCATAAAGTACTCACGAAGCTTCTTGGACCGATGGGCTCCCTCTAAGTCCATCTTGACCGTCTCCGGGTAGCCGAAGTACTGGATCCAGGCCTCCTGGATAGTATCGATGATCTCTTGCCCTGTGGCATTGCGACTCTGGTCGTCAGGAATGCGAAACAACTCGCGAATCACTGCATAGCCACTGGCCTCATCGACAAGAAGCACGAAATGATGCAAGCAGCCATTGAACTTCATATCCCAACCATCCACCTGAAGGCACGACCACAAACGGTCAGTCCTTTCAAGATTGACTGCAGGGCTAGGCATCTTGATGCGACCTTCAAGGCACTCATCGCACTCCAGCCTGGACGCCGCGGCGATTACCAAGAAATCCGCATTGCGGGACTGAAGATTCTTGACCAGAAGCCTGTTCGAAGGGTGACCAAAGCGGCGAGCTTCCGTACATCCTCCATAAGCTTCTGCAGCTTGGGGGGCTCAAGCGTCTCCAGGACAGAGGTGTCAATGGGGTAGATCTCACCATCATCTGCCCACATCAGATCTCCACGCCGTCTGGTCACTGCTCGAGCCAACCATGTCCAGATACTATCTGAGGCCCCCCCGGTGGTAGTAGAGAAGGTATTCTGACTGGCTGCATGGTCCTGGTCTAAGGTTACCTCAATCTCAAAGAAGCCCCCAGCGGTGGTAGTAGAGAAGGTATTCTGAACGGCTGCGCTGGTGCTGGTCACCTTCACTGCCTCGTTCCCTATCGCCAAGGGGCCATGCGCATTTGCCTTCCAAAAGGCCATCACCTCAGGAAGCCGCCACACCTGCGACAAAGGATGAGTCAGCCAAACCACCTCCTTGCCTTGGTCCATAGCCTGGCGAGACAGAAGAAGGAGGTGCCGGATCACGCGCTGGTACCTTCTAATTCTCGCGATCTCTTTCTCATCCATGGCAGCCGTAGTTCGAGATGATGCAGGACCACGAGGAACATTACACACCACCCACCGAGGTTGTAGTTGGTCCAGTTGCTCTTGTGCAGCCCGATACCCTTTATGCGTGGAGAAGTCACACTTCTTCTGGAACCCCAGAATGGCATAGGAAAGCCCGGCCTTTTCAAAGTCCCCTTCATGGGCCTCGGCACACAACCAAGGGTCACATAACATCGCCACATCCAGCCGGGCAACCGGGGGGTAGAAAGTCTGGATCTCTTCGATGGCGTCCACAGCCTCCTTGAGCGGATGCAAGATGCGCTCGCAATCTTCCAGGGTCAAAACATCCTCCGAGGGGACCACCTCGTCATCCTCAACCTCCGCGTCATGCTTGCCAGCCAAGTGGACATGACCAGACTTCTGAGGAATTCCAAACCCACAGCGCAGCAGCACCTTCGCATCTTCTTTTGGAATGGAGTCTCCTCCTCGAGGGGTGAAGGCGGTGACAACATAGCGATCACCGGTCCAGGGCAGCGAGCAGTGGTACCTCTTCGGAGAAACCTGCAGAGGCCGGTGCTTGGTGTTCACGCTCACTCCTGGAACTCACGCTCCATTGGGTTTGGGCTTCCACACTAAGGGGAGGCCAGGATCGGGATCTCCTTCTCGAAGCTCCATCCACAGAGCACCGTTCTGAAATGATCCATAGGTGCAGGTGTAGTTGTCGGAGTTGGAAGAGCAAATGGCCTGTACGACTTCGTCTCAGACCAATGGCTAAGTGAGGGTTCACAGCAGCGAAAACCACCAAACAGCGGTCAAAGTCGATGATCGCCTTCAACCTCCGCAAGGTTTTCATGCCCAACAACACTGGAACGCCCTCGACGTCCAACGTGAACATCCCTAACTGAATCCTGCGCTCCCCCAGCATCTGGTCCAACAACACATAAGAAGACGCATAGGCATGCTCCCCATTGCCAAACTTAAACCGCTTCACAGGCTCTTGAGTGACCTCCAAACCCACGGGCTTGCCATCCTGAGCCTCTTTCAGCTGCACCAAGGCCTCCAGTGCGGGCAAGCTACACACAGTCTCAGTGGCACCGCTGTCAATGACCGCGTAGCCAGCAAGCTCGTTCTTGGGGATGGGCAAGTCGAGGTCGTCGAAGTTCGGGTAGCAGGCGTCCTCGGCAGGGATCTCCTCAACGGTGTAGAGCATGGCATCCACGAAGTTGACATGACCGCCCTTCTTGCCCTTGTTTCCCTTGCCAGAAGAGCGCTTGGGACAACTCCGGAAGTCATGTCCTTTGTCACCGCAAATGAAGCAACCAGTGTAGGAGGGATCCCCAACAGCCGCGCCCAAGAAGCCCTCAGTGAGGAAGGTGGAGCCGGATGACGAAGAGCCTTTGTTCTTGCCCTTCCATTTGCCTTTCTTTCTCCTGAAGGAACCTCCTTTTGCATGAGAGAAAAGGGATAGAAGCCTCTCGAAAGGTTTCTTGCCTTCACAGCCTGCCTAGCCTGCACAAAGCTCCGCATCTTCTGCTCTGCCACGGCGAAGGCCTCATCCACCTCCTTCTGCTCCTCCGGGGTGAGGTCGGAAAGGTCTGGGTCTTCGTTCCACCAAGCTTCTTCTGGCCATGACTCAGGGGAATCGCCTGTCGACCACCAGGAGGACTGAGGCGAATTGTGCTCCAGCCATCCTTCCGCTGAGGACCACAGTGCTGAAGGATCATAGTAGGCCTGCGGGGGCAACCTCTCGCCGACATACAGGGTCTCGCCGCCATCCACCAGGTCCTCCAGCTCAGTTGCCTCTCCCAAAAGAAGAGACCAGTGCCCGGCCTCCTCGACCCAGTAGGTTCGCCTTCGAGGAGGTTCTCGTCCTCCTTTTCCATGGCCCTCATTCTGGAGAAGTTCCTCTTCCATGCCTCGGAGAGCTCGTTCGATGGCATCCAGCTTCAGGCTGTTGCCAGCCGCCGCCTGCACAGAAAGGCGTTGCTGGCTCGTGAGGCCGGCTCTCCTTAACAAGAGCCATCCCAGCACTTCTGGAAGAACTTCAGGAAGCTGCTCATCGTGCGCCTCCCACAGCTGCACATCCTCCAGAGCCTTGGCTGAGTCGTCGCTGTCGGAGTCTTTTCGAGTCCGACGCTTCCGAGCGCTGCTGTCTTCCTGCAGCTCCACTTCGTCATCACGCTCTCCTTCGGGAGCTGGACCAATCGTCACCTGGTCGTCGTCATCTGCTACCTGGGTCTCGGCTTGGGGTTCGTCCTCTGTCGCCAGGCTAGCCCTTCGAGCTGGAGACGAAGCTGCGGAAGGCTCGGAGCTGGATTTAGGTCCCGACTTGGCCTTCTCACCCGTCTTGGTCCTGACCCGCGATAGAGCGACTTGGAGGTGACGATATTGAAGTCGAAGATGAGCCGCCCAGGTGGCCATGCTTTGAGCAGGAGACCGCCGAAGTCGAAGCATCAGGGCCTCCAGTCTCACCCCAATGTCAGGGACAGGAAGACGTCCCAAAGACTCTTTCAAGTACTGGAGTAAATATATCACGCCGTCTCGGCGGCACAGCTCCCGATGACTCAAGTCACCCGTGATCGCCCACGCACGTCCAGTGAGCTCGCTGACGATTCGAGGAGCTAGCAAGTGACGTTTACGTCGAGGGGTTTTTTCAAATGATAGTCTCACCCTTCTGCAAAAGTCGTTCCACGTACTGGGCTCAGCGTCCCACGTACATCGCAGGAAGGAGGTATCCCTGCTCTCGGACGTCATAGTCCAGGCGAATGCCAATGAACCTCAGCAGAAAGTCCAAGGGGAATTTGTCGGAGCCAGGGCTCCGCCGCCGGGTAGAGGAGAAAGTAGGTGAAGACACCCTTGTCGAATTCCACGTGGGCACGACCCAACGTTCTGTCTCACTAGAATCCCTTGGACCGGCAGCCTGCTCCGCTACCAATCTCAAGGAACCCCAGGAAACCACAGCAAAAGCGTGCAAGAAGCGCTCAGCCAGCCGTCTTGTTTTGCACTGCGACCGTCAAGGTCTCCGTGATCCTGGGATCCGCAGGCTCACCTATGGTGATCTAAGACCCCTAAGGGATCAGCTGACTCGTAGCTAAAAGCTTGGGCAAAAGGCCAGCCTGCGGACGCCAGCATGGTGCACAATGCAGATAGCAAACTTGGGAATGCAATCCACAGCAGGACATGGTATGTTCCTTGACAGGGGGTTGAGGGCTTAGTTTTGGGGGCTTGCACAACGATATTGGTACGTGGTACTGAGACCACACCACCGGCCCCGACTTCAGCAGAGATATTAAGCTTGAAGGTTTAAGGTTTTGGGCTTAGCTTTGCAAAAACCCTTCGAGTCTGTGCCGACGCGCTCACCCCAAGTGCTTCTCACGCGCCAACTTGCTGACATGCGCATGGCAGCCGCAAAACAAGACTTAAGACCTAAACCTAAGTCCCAAACTTTAAACCCCAAATCCCTAAACCCTAGAGCCTTGGGGTTTGCTTTAGAAGGGCCTGGTCCACCACGGGAGAAGACCATAAGCATGATGCTACAAGACCTTTGCTGCACAAAATGCCGCCGTGTTTTGTTCCACTTCTACTTTCACTACAACGAGCCGGACTCGCCACTTCAAAAACAATGGCCCTAAGTTGTTGCTGCTGTTTATGGTGGCAGTTTTGTTGTTGCCAACAGCTATACACCGTAAATCTTGAACTCAAACTTGGAATCCTGAACCCCAGAGGCCTTAACTCCCAGAATCCTAAACCCTTACTCCAGGCCGTGAACACTCAATCCTTCTCCCCTGAACCCTGAACCTCACCGGGGCTTTGGGGTCCCCATATACTGAGGCTTAGAACCATTTTGGGGTCTATATACGCCAGCATCCACCACGTGCCCCACCAGCCCCCCCCCCCATGGTAATCGCCCCCCCTGTGGCGTGTGAGCTGGGTCGTGTCCTGTGGTCTATCAAGGTTTAGTGAAGGTTTATTGTATTTGTAGAGGGTTCGTAACCCTCCCTCCCTGTGGTGCTGTGGCATGTGGTCTGGGTCTTGTGGTCAAAATTAAGGTTAAGAGTGGGTTTATAATGTTTGTCAAGGATTCGTACCTCCCCCCCTTGGCCTGTGATCTGGTTCTGGTGGTCTAAATTCATGTCTAGAGAAGGTTTATAGTGTTAGTAGAGGGTTCATAAATTCTTCCCCCCCCCACCATGTGGTCCTGTGGCCTCTGGTCTGGGTCACGTGGTTTACCTTAGGTTTATGAAGGGTTTGTAGAGGGTTTATCACAGGTTCAAAAGGTTTTTGAACAGTTCATAGAGGATTTC